ATCTGGAGTGCAGTGGTGTTGCTTCCAGAAACAATGAAAAATGAATTTTGCCTTGATGGCGGATAAGGGATGTCGAGGAAGAATAGAGATTAAGTGAGTGAGTGAGTGAGTGAGTGAGTGAGTGAGTGAGTGAGTGAGTGAGTGAGTAAGTGAGTAAGTGTGTGAGTGAGTTAGTGAATGAGTGAGCGAGTGAGTGGGTGAGTGAATCAGTGAGTGAGTGACTGGCTCTCACACTCAAGCTTACAGTCACATTATGCAAAATATAAATGAACAGTAATACAAACAACAATAATGTTAAATACATAGATGTAACTCAACATTATTCTTATGCATGCTCTAAGGTCATGAATTATCCTTGTTCTGGTCCTCAAAAAATACGAAAGTGGGGTTGGGGAGAGGGGTATAATAAACTGTTAGAAGAGTCACAGTGTCTATCGTTGGGAGAGTGGTACCCACCAAGGACGCCCACTCTGATCAATCGACAAGGCTTGAAGACTCACTCTTTTGGGATACTTTAAATCGTAAGTTCATTATTTTAATGGGTTTTTTCTATTCAGTTTTTCTTGTCTAATTTTCAAAAATTGTAAATTTCAAGAGACAGGCAGCAACAAGTATACCCTGAACTATGCAAGCTCATGTTTCTGATTTGTGTATTGCGGGTTCCAAACGTGCCAAAAATTGCAAAAACAAAAAACATACACAACAATACAAAGCATCAGCAGCAATTAAAAAACCCCCAAAACAACAACAACAACAACAACAACAACAACAATAGAGAGGCGGTGGCTCTGGCGAAGAACACGCTCTTCGGGGCTCCAAACATTTCGAAGGGATAGGCACACACACAACATCAATAACAGCAGCAGCAACAAAAGGAAGACTTGACCGGACAAAACAACAATTGACACTCACGAGCCCGCTCAGAAATTTCAGTGTAGTAGTCACAGTACAACCGCTAACTACCACCAATCAATGTTCGCTGGATGGAGCTAACATGTATCACAACGCTTTGGAATCAGGCGCTCGTAAATTTTTTGGCTTGTGAAGTTATTTTGTGTTATCTTAAAGCTTGTTTATTTTGCATTGCTTCAGATGAAAATAATTACCCATCTAGTTTAATTAGAATTCGATATATTTGGGTTGAAAGGAGGTGTGTGTGTGTATTTGTGTGTGTATGTGTGTGTATGTGTGTGTATGTGTTTGTGTTTGTGTTTGTGTGTGTGCGTGTGTGTGTGTGTGTGTGAGTGTGTGTGTTTGTGTTTGTGTGTGTGTGGGAGGGGGGGATGTGGTCGTTTGGTGTCAGATGTAAATGGCTTCCTAGCTTGAGTGTCTTTAGAAACTGCTATGCTAATTTACATTCTCGTACTTTGAACAACGCCTTTAAGTAAAAACCCACACATAAAATGTGTTCTAAGAGAATATAAAAAGGTGCTGAGCATAACTAAAAGAAACATCTATAAAAGTTGCCCAACTGGTGGAAAATGTCAGTTTCTTAAATTTAACTATTTTGACGACCGCCTGATTTCACCACGATGCCTCACATTATTAATGCTTTACACACCGATGTTTTGACGTGTGTGGTCGACCACTTAACGGTACTTTACCTCACAAGAATTGATTTACTAGAAGCTTTCAGGAGTTTGAGGAATCTTCATTAGTTGTTGGAGTACTCACAGAGTGGCAATTATCCTTTACGGCTCTCAGCCGGAAGTAAACGATAATAAGTGTCACGACACTGCGAAATCAGACACTTGACAATGTTTACGCATACAGAATTGTTGGTATAATCTTAAGGCCTGAACATCAGATTTGCATTGCCTTTGAAGAAAAAAATTCCAGTCTATCTTTAATAGAAATTGAGATATTTTGGGTTGAAGACAGTCGGAGTTGCTTGGCGATGGAGATAAAATTAACGAGAAATAATGGCCTTCAAAGTTTGGTGACTTCCAGTCCTTCGAAAATGCAAATTCACATTTGTTTTGTTCCTTTAATCAATGTTTTCCAGTAAAATCCTCTCATTTATTGGTGTTTTTTTTTTTCAAATGAGAATATGAGATGCTGTGCCTAAAGCAGAATTTTCGGAGAAAAAAATGTCCATTGGCCGTGGAAATGCCGTTTTCTCCTAATTAGTTAATTTGACGAGCGCCTGATTTCACCATGATGTCACACATGATTATAGTCCCTTGTGGTTGTATAGCATGTAGATCTCCTTCGTGGGGAGAAAGTTAATCTATCGGTCTTTCTGCTGTGACATCTATCTCAGTCCTGGTTGAGATTTTCTGGCAGGGCCGGAGTTTGCCTCCTATATTAATCAGAACGTGTTGATAGGGGCGCAAATATCACCAACATAAAATAGACACGCTGGGCCCCCTTTCGATGAAAGGAACGATCGGTGCTTTAATATCAAGTAAAAGTCATTGACCTACTATATTTACACTCTACTGGAAAGGGGGCAATAAATCTTGAGAGATGCAAAAATTTATAAGGTCTAGATCTATACTCTCAAAACAAAAAAGGCGAAATAAAGAAATTTAGCTTTTTGCAGCAAAACTGTCTCAAAACTGAAAAAACCAAGGGCGTCATGATCTGGAGAATATTTTAAAGAATCTTTTGGCGAAAACCGCATGTCGATCGTTGCAGCCATTAAAAAGCCTTTTGAATAGCAAAATTTGGCCACCACAAATAGATAATAGATATCAGATGTTCCTGGTATTAATAACACCTACAATATATTTTTTGTTTGTTATATTCACCTTCACCTTCACCTATTCAGTAGACTGGATGTCAGTCGGGGCGCTTTTGAAGATTTGGCACCAGCCTCCTCCACTCCTGCCAGTCTTCAGCTTTCTTGAGCGTGTATTTAAGTTCCAGGCCTACCCATTCCTTGATGTTGTCCTCTCAACTCTTCTTCGGTCTGCCTCTGCTCCTTTTTTCCTGGACGCTACTTTGCAGGAAAGACCAGATTAACGGGCGATGTGTCCATACCATTGCCGTTTGCGTTTCCTGTCCAGAGTGAGAAGGTCAGCATAATATAGTCGAAATTCATTTTTGATCCGTAGTTAGACTTCCTCATTTATGATGTGATCTTTTTATGAGATAGCAAGGATTCTTCGGAAGCATCTCATCGCCATAGCTTTGATCCTTATTTCAAGGTCTGCATTCAACGTCCAGGATTCACATGCATACAGATATATTAACATGAATAGGAATGTGAGAATGTGAGAACCTTTGTTATATTAGTGACGCTAATAACTGGGAAGAAGGCTCTAAATATCTTAAACACACACATACACACACACACACACAAACACACACACACACAAAAGACCCAAAAAAATAAAACTGTTTATGAAAAGGTTAATGTAATGTCTGGGAAGATTATTATTTTGAGGCGTTTCTGTTTAGATTTCCGATTTTCCCTTACTTGACTTTGCAGTTTATAGCAAACTGCTATTTTGCAGAAAATATATCTGACTTTAATGGTGTGCATATAAGATTCGTGATGTGATTATGTAAAGAGTTGTTTGTTTGTTTTTCGGTTGTTTTTTTCATTGCCTTTATTTTTCTTTCGTTTTTATTTGTTTTGGGACTTCTTTTTTTAAATTGTTTTTTTTTTGGTGTTTTTCCTTTTGCTTTTTGTTGCTGACGCTGTTTGCTGTTGTTGTTATTGTTGTTTTGTTGTTGTTGTGGTTGCCTTTTTGCAATATATATTCTCAAAAATGTTCCGCCTTTTCGAATATTGCGTTAGTATCTAGTGCCTTTTTATTTTGCGTAAGCGTGTGAATGTAAGTGTGAGTTCATACACACGTAAATGCGCTTGATTGTGTAAATGTGTGTGTGCGTGCGTGTGTGTGTGTGTGTGTGTGTGTGTGTGTGTGTGTGTGTGTGTGTGTGTGGGTGTGTGTATTTCTTTAATTTAATATTGAAACTTAATCAGGAATTCTTGTATAATCTTTTTTTCCTGCAGATAAATCACCGGTAGACAAACACAGACAAGTCTTAGTGTGTGGACATACCATTTCTTTGACGTCATTCCAAGATCTCAGAAAACACTCTACTCTCACAGAGAAGATCTCCTTCGGTGCACACGTTCTCTATGAATACATTAGTAAGATTGTCTGTTATTGACATAAACAAAACTGACAAACACGTCCAGCTTGCAGATGCTATAAACACATAGTAATGTTGATCCTAACAAAACCTCAAAGGACAATTTGTGCTCTCACATACATTATCTGTATATGTTGGCATAATGATAAACAGCGCTTTTGCAAAAAATGAATAGATCAATAGATCAATAAATAACACCCGGAAATACAGATCCCAGTTCATCGGTCACCACTATGTAAACAAAACGATAATCAGATGAATATCTTATCTCATTCGGAGTAATGAGAAGCAAATCAACACTGGAAAACTGTTATTTGGCGCCAGGAGGGAAGGAAGACCGACAGACAGACTGGAACATCAGATAAAAAAGTAAGAGTAAGAGCTACCAGCAGCACCTCTAACCTCCCAGACAGACAAACAGAAACATCAAAGAGAAAGACTAAAAATAGGCACTACCTGTATCCCACTCCAGCTATCAATATGGTGTGTATCTGTAAATGTCAGAAAAAACATGTCTAATTAGTGCACAGAGTTGAGCACGTGTCGACTTGTAGGGGTTTTACGTGAGAGAAAGGTGTATTCTTTCAAGGGCTGGCTAGACATAGAGGATTTCACGATGAAGAAGCAATTAATATGTGCCTTGAATTCCCATAGCAAATCATAGCAAGGCTTGTCTTGATTAAATAATCCCCCAAAAATGTTAAAATTTTTCGCCTTAGTAAAAGTTTTACAGCACCTGCAAACGAGTAGGTCATATAATTCCAAAGATTAAAGTTGTCACAAGAAAGTAACGTACAAAGAAAAGAAGGAGAGATAAAGACGATAGATGTTTGATAGGAAAGAAGAAGCAAACCACACCAGAGCGCCAGCCAACCACCCACCTTACAAATATGGGATATTTTTCGTCCGGAAAACGTCTAAGTGTTCGGATTTTGTTTTACTTGGTTCTTTTACTAACCCTGTGGAGAAGTCAAACGCCGAGCACGTTCGCTCTGAAGGCGATTCCGAACAGACCAATCCGGTCTTACATCAAGAAAGGAGACATAAATCTGGGCGCTTTCCTCGCCATCACGGAGTACTCTCCCCACTCGCTGTGCGGGCAGAGGATTCGATTCCCTCTGCTCCAGCAGTTTGTGGAGGCGTTAGTGTACGCTGTGGAGAAGGTAAACGCTGACGACACACTTCTCCCAAACGTCACTCTCGGGTACGCCATCTTGGACGACTGTGTCAAAGAATCGACAGCCGTGGCCCAGGCGTTGAGATTTCTCCCACGCAAACCAGATGTGTACTGCATCACTCCTGAGCAGTGTACAGACAGCGGGGGTGGGATACTTCCGAACATCACGTCATTTCTGCCGGACACCCCCGATGACCACTATGACGTAGTAGGGGTGATCGGTCCTCTAAAAAGCGGTAATAGCATCGCCGTTTCGTACCTACTCGGCCCTGCGAAAATCCCACAGATCAGCTTTTTGTCTACGAGCGACGAGCTGTCGAACAAGGAGCTCCACTCTTTCTTCCTGCGGGTCGTTCCCCCCGACGAGAACCAGGTCCAAGCTATCATGGCGTTCATCCACAGCCAAGGCTGGTCTTACGTCAGCGTCATCTATTCAGCTGGAAGTTACGGTGAGTTCGCCTTCGACAACATCAAACGCATCGCGCCGAGCCTGAAAATCTGCATCGCCACGCAGCATAAGACCAACCTCGCCATGTCAGACGAGGATTTTCTGAAGATTGTGGAAGATTTACTGAAGTACCCTCGAGCTAGGGTCGTTATTGCTTTTGTTGGAGGGCAAGATATCGTGGGTGTGTTCAAGGCCGTTCACCAGCTTCATGCAGCGGGAAGGTTTATCTGGATCGGAAGCGACGGATGGGCAGATCGACTGAGCCTCGTCCCGGCGGAGTTCCACAACGTTCTGTACGGGGCCTTCACCACCACCGTGTACACCCGTTCTGTCCCGGAGTTTAATCAGTACTTCCGAAGTATCAAACCGTCCAACACGTCAAATCCCTGGTTCCACGAGTTCTGGGAGCGACAGTTCGGCTGTTCTTTCGACGCAGGGACTTGCGACGAGTCACGTGACATCAGTGAAAGCCCCACCTTCTCCTACCTGTCACAGACTAGCTCCGCCCTCGACAGCGTTTACACGTACGCCCATGCGTTGCACAAGCTGCTGCAAGATGAATGTCCCGGGGTGGGCGGGGACGAGGCGAGGGGGTGTGTCCTCGGCGAACAGCTGATTGGATATCTCCGGAACGTGTCATTTGACGGTGAGTTATAGAGGATAGAGTTCTAGCGTTTTCTTCTAGAAGGTTTGTGCAACACAAGATGTATTAAAAATATGTATGTCATGACACAGTAAAATCAGGCGCTCGTCTTTTTGTGGGCATATGGAGCTATTGGTATGATCTTAAAGCTTGTTTGTTTTTCTTGCTTTTGTTGGAACAAATATCTTTCTTTCTTTTATAGAAGTCAAAATTGAAGACGGTGAGAGTCGTATGGTGTCAGGGGTAAAATTATTGAGAAAATGGTTGCAAAAAATTTGGTGACATTTAACATTTTAGTGTCCTTAAAAACTTTAAATCAACATATTTAAGTCTTTGATTGTTGAGGTTTTTATAGCAAAATCCACACACACAAATAAATGATTTCAATAGGACTTTAAAGGGGTTGAGCCAAAAAAAAATCGAAAATACTGCCCAACGGCAAGAAAAACGCCAGTTTCTTTGATTTCATTGTTTTGACGAGCACCGGGTTTCACCACTATTCATGACATCTGCGCATTCCTTCCCCATCAACCATAATTACTTACATATTATATTTTAGGCGACGGGATTGTAACCTTGCCCGTAAGGGATCACCCTGGCGGAAAGGGATACAACGTCCAAGTAGAAAGACAGAAATACTCGATAAAAATGTCCCCACACTGGAAACGAACTTTGCTCTCCTGTGATCGACGGCGGAGAACCTAATCGCTGCACCACAGATTCCGTTTGAAGAATTAGAGTGCTTTTCTGTCCTTCAAGAAGGTTGTTGTATCAAGATTTTCTTCCCATATTTCTGATTTGTCTGACAGAGCATTGTATGATCTGATGAGTTTAGTACCCTTTTCAATACATGTGTAAGATTAGAAAAAAAGAATCAGCGTTTAAAGATCATCAAATATTCATTATTAACAATATAATAATCAGTATTATTATTAAAAGCATTCGTATTTTATTAACATCAAAATCATCATCATCATCATCATCGTTCTTCTTCTTCTTCTTCTTCTTCTTCTTCTTCTTCTTCTTCTTCTTCTTCTTCTCACCATCACCACCATCATCACCACCACCACCATCATCATGCCGCCCCCCACCCTCCCCTCAGGGTACACTGGCCGTGTCCGCTTTGACGAGAACGGGAATATGCTGAGCCGGTACGTCATCAAACAGATCTACCCAGGCCGGCCGCTGCAGCAGGCCAGCGTCGCCCTCATCGACACCAGCGCCGAGCACCACATCACCAGGCTCCATGACGTCACCTGGGATTACGTCATGCCCGTGGACCTGGGGTTCAAACCTGAAGATGTGCTACCCGCCCCGACCATCCCGCCGGGTTCGAACTCCAGCCCCCCTGTGTCTGTGTGTAGTAGGCTGTGTGGGGTGGGGGAGTACAGCATCAAAAAGGAGCAGCTGTGCTGTTGGGAGTGCAGGTTGGTGAAGGTTACGTGCAACTTGTGTTTTTATTTTGGTTTTAATCGGCACGAGTTTTATGGCGCTCGCTAATGTATAGACATACTATGGTCATAATATTAGCTCGCGGTACACATTAAGCATACCCAGTTTGGTAGGAATTAAATTTTGAATTCTGCTCTGGTGGCGGCCAAACCCTACTCTTATTAATTTTTTACTAAGGAATTTTTAACAAGCGCAACTTGCATACGGGACCTAAGAGATTTTCCACCCATATCCGAGAAGGCTAGGTATTAGATCTTTCTTACCAGAAGATCAGGGGTTTGGCTGAAAGACAGCAGTAAGACGGCGCTAAGGAGTAGCATAAAAAGGCTGCAGAAAGAGTCAGGATCCTAGAGGAGGGGGCAAAAGGGGAAAGGGGGGGGGGGTTGGAGTTGTTGTTGGAGGGTGGGTATAGGTAGGTAGTCGGGTAGATAAGTAGGTGGATGGATAGGTAGGTAGGTAGGTTGGTAGGTAGATAGGTGGGTACGTAGGCAAGCAGGCAGGTAGGTAGGTAGGTGGGTAGGTTGGTAGGTAGGTAGGTATGTATGTAAGTAGGTAGGTAGGTAGGTAGGTAGGTTCTGTGAAACAGCATAAATTATAATTGATACAAAACACCTTTTTTTCTCTACGTGAGGATAACAATTAACAGTTTGTGATATCTGGTAAAATTATAGTATGATTTCAATATATCAAGTGTGAAAATATTCGTGAATAGGCAATCTAAAAAAGTAAAGTAGATCTACAAATTTTCAAAAAGTGTCAATAGGAAGGAGAGCTCCATTTGTGAAGGAGTTAACATATTTGCAGATATAAAAATAAGGATTAACGAATGGAAATAACGACTAAAAAAAATGGCTGTTTGCATTCTGAAATTATCTCAACATCCTGGGAAGCGTACAGAATTAATTGAAAATAACAATTTTAAGGGTCGATTTAATCTAGAGAAATAATAATTGTTTTGGAATCAAAGAAGGTGAAAGGGTGCTTTTACTATTTAACAGGTGTAATAAGACTTTTTTCTCTTATTTTATTTTTTAAAAAGGAGAATTGTGAATTTCATAATCGTAATGACCTAACGTATTAGGCCTTGTGTCCATTGGGGCGGACACGACCCGATTTTTTTGTCTGGGGGAGGAAAGTCGGTCGGGTCGTTTCCGTCTTGTGTGTCCACACAGTTCGAAAAAGACATGTCAAGGCTGTTGGTCTACTTATTCCCCGGATGTGTACGCTAGACTGTTGTCGTGGCGGGCTGTGTCCTCGGTACAAGGCTATAAATAGTCAAAAGGTCACATTATGAACCCAAGGCGGAAAAAAGAAATGTATGGTTTTTTTTAAGAAAACAGGTAAAATAGTTAAATCTCATTTTTTAAAGGAGAGTTGCGCGTAGACTTTGCTAAATTTTGATGGGTTGATTACGAATATAACATTAGATTTTTATTCTGAACTGAAAAATTAGACTTTTTTAAAGCTCCGGTGTGGCCTAAGGCTGATGTGTCAACACCCGGCCTGGCTAAAATGCAGAAAGCGGTATTCCAACCGACATGTCTTTTGTCGGGGTGTGTCGGGGTGTGTCCGTTGACACAGACAAACGGAATTTTCCACTGATTTCTTAGAAAAAACCCAACAGTGCTCCATTTAATCTATCGGCTTTCCGAGAGGCGGGCGGAATCGGGTCGGTTTGTGGCTGTTCCAGTGGACACGCACCCTTACTCTTCTATGATTTTTCAACCACCAAGGGCTCTCTGGAGTGAACAATGTACACTCCTATATTGTTCGTCCTTATCTGAGAAGACAAGGTGCTTAATCTTATCTTCTTAATACTCCATTTCTGATGTGTGTTGTTGTTGTTGTTGTTGTTGTTGTTGTTGTTGTTGTTGTTGTTGTTGTTGTTGTTGTTGTTGTTGTGTGTGTGGTAGCCTATCTGTTCGAAATGTTTGGAGCCCCGAAGAACGTGCTCTTCTCCAAGGCCACCGCCTCCCTTGGGTTGTTGTTGTTGTTGTTGCTTCTGCCGCTGCTGCTGCTGCTGCTGCTGCTGCTGCTGCTGCTGCTGCTGCTGCTGCTGCTGCTGCTGCTGCTGCTGCTGCTGCTGCTGCTGCTGCTGCTATTGTTGTTGCGTTTTAAAATGGTCTTTTTTTAGTGGCTTTTTGTTTGTTCGTTGTTGTTTCTTCTGTCAATCCACAGAAAGTGCAGAGACAACGAACGAACCGTCACCAACAATACCGCCTGTGAAATCTGCCCCACGTTCTACTGGCCAAATCCGCACACCAATCTGACCACATGCGAGCTCATACCTCCAGATTTTCCAAGCAAGTCCAGCGCCATCGTCATTTTAGAAATCAGCCTCAGTGTGGCGGGGATCGCATCGTCCATCCTCGTCTTCGCGGCTTACGTCTACTTCAGAGACGAACGAATCATCAAAGCCGCCAGCAGGGAGCTAAGCTTCCTCCAACTGGTCGCCATTTTGTTGGGCTACATTACGATGCTGGTTTACGCAGCACCCCCCACACACGAGCGCTGTGCCACAGCGTTCTTTCTCTTCTGCCTCACGTTCAATTGGATTTACGCCCCCTTGCTGGTGAAGGCCGTCCGGATCTATCGGATCTTCCACTCGGCCGCTAAGGGAGCCAGGCAGCTGAAGGTGGTCAGTCCTGTGTCCCAGGTGGTTCTGTCGTCTACCATCGTGTTGGGTCAGGTGGGTGATTGATGGGTTGGTTGTTTGGGTGGTTGGTTGGCTGGTTGGTTCTTTGGTTAGTTGGTTGATTGATTGATTGATTGATTGATTGATTCATTCATTGATTGAATGGTTGGTTGGTTGGTTGGTTGGTTGATTGATTGGTGGATAGTTGAAAGGATCTTTCTCCCCCTCCCCTTTTTCTCCTCTCTCTCTCTCTCTCTCTCTCTCTCTCTCTCTCTCTCTCTCTCTCCCTCTCTCTCTCTTTCTCTCTCTCTCCCTCTCCCTCTCTCTCTACCTCCCTTTTTTTCCTTCTCTTTACCTCTCTTCTCCCCCCTCTCTCTCTCCATCTCCCCCTCTTTCCTACAAGTATCTTACACTACATAGCCCTGAGACTTGAGTGATGAGTCATTGATTTATTCTGTCCCAACTGTTACACGTAAATTTTAATAACTGATCATAAACGGAAGGAAAACATGGGTTCTTAGGAAGTACCGGATTTCAGAAGATAAACATACAAAGGTTCCAAGAAAAAAGGGCAGTAGCACAAATACCTGAACACCAATATCAACAAAATATAATTCCAAGCCCAAGCGTCTTTGGCGTAGTGTTTAGGCACTCAACTTTTACACACATAAGTCTTGAGTTCGATTTTTTCCTTTCCTAACCTTTCCTTTCGTTTCCCTTCCGATACTTTACTTTACTTTAGTTTACTTTACTTTAGTTTACTTTACTTTAGTTTACTTTACTTTAGTTTACTTTACTTTACTTTACTTTACTTTACTTTACTTTACTTTATTTTCTTCCTTTTCCTCTCTTTCTATTTATTTTTTCCTCCTTCCTTTCGTTACATTTCCTCTCTTCTCCTGTCCTGTCATTTCCTTTAATTTATTTCCTTTCCTTTTCTTTACAATCTATCCGTTCCTCTCCTTCCTTTCTTTTCTTTTTCTTCCCTTTCCTTTCTAAATTCCTGTTCTTTTCTTCTTCTCCCTTCCTTTCCCTTTCTTTCCTTTTCTCACCTTTCCTGTCCTTTCCTTTTCTTTCATCTCTTAGATGTCAAAGGGAGATCCAATCCACTGATACAAGAAGAACAGTTAAATAAACAATGTAAACATGGTGCACATGCGGTGAATTTTACACCATAACGATGTCTGTAAATAAGAGGAGTATTAGTTGATCATAGATGTAGAATTCCCTGTACGCACTCGAATCAGGACAGGTTTTTATACACAAAGAGAATTGATCAATGACAAAAGTTGTTCTCCTGTGTAGTCTGGTTTGGCGGCAAACATTATGACAGATGTGGAATAGCCCAGAGACGTCACATAACAAAAATATAACAAAAACAAGCGACATAATACGAAGAAATACCCACTATCTCATGTATCAAAACACACACGCGTTCGCTCACAAGCATACATACACGCGTGTACACACACACACACACACACACACACACACACACACACACACACACACACACACACACACAGAGAGAGAGAGAGAGAGAGAGACAGACAGACAGACAGACAGACAGACAGGCAGACAGAGCGAGAGAGATTGAGACAGAGAGAGAGACAGAGAGAGAGAGAGAGAGAGAGAGAGAGAGAGAGAGAGAGAGAGAGAGAGAGACAGAGAGACAGAGAGAGACAGAGACAGAGAGAGACAGAGCGGGTAAGAGAGAAAGAACCGCAAGCAAAGACGATTTCACGATAACAATAATGGGGAAAAGAAAAACAAAGGGAGAGAACAGTAGTGCATTCAAGGAAAAAAATATTTACTTTTGTCAAATATTCCAGACTTTTCTTCCAGGTTTATAAAGGAATTATTTCTTGGGAGATTCGGTTTCTGAGCTGTCAATCGATTTAAAATGTGCCTGATTCTTGTGCGTTTTCCCTTTAGCTGAATTTTATTTATTCGCATTCAGAATGATAAACACTCATGACGTGTGAGTGCCCCCCCCTCTCTCTTTCTCTCTTTTCTCTCTCTCTCTCTCTCTCTCTCCCTCTCTCTCTCTCTCATACACACACACACGTACACATACACATTGGACTACCATGCCTTTTACCAAAAAGCAGCACACACACACACACACACACACACGCACACACACACAAACACACACATACAAACACACACACACACACACACACACACACACACACACACACACACACACACTGAGGACACACCAATCATTCACTTGAACATACACTTTTTAAACTCGTACACACGAACAATAACAACCTCAACCAATGAGTTTATAATATGTGAGGCATCATGGTGAAACCAGGCGCTCGTCAAAACAATGAAAATAAAGAAATCGACTTTTTTTGGCCAATGGGTAAGCTTTTTTCTAATTTTCTTTTTTTGGCTCAACACCTTTTAGGTCCTTTAAAACATATTTCTGTGTTGATTTTACTGAAAAACATCGATAAAATATAAATGTTCAGTTTCCAAGGACTCTCAGGCTATGGAAATAACCAAACTTTGGATGCCATTTTCTCCTTCAATCGCAAATATTTCGACTTCTATTAAAAATAGATAGCTATTTCTTTTTCACCTAAAGGAAGGCGAAATAAACAGGCTTTAAAATGATACCAATAATCCAATAAGCCCAAAATTTGACGAGCGCCTGATTCCAACACGTCGTGACACATATATACGCCTTCCACTAGAGCTGGGCGAAGAATCAATTCCGGAACCGATTCCCACGACTATTGCAGCGGAAGAAAAGTTCACTTTCACGAAATCCAACTTTTCCAGTTACTTTAATCAATAAGAATTTTTTAAAAAGAATTTATCTTTGAAAAATAAAAGTTGATGCTTCGGAGTGTTCCGAGATCAAGGTTATCCTAAATCCTGAAGATGTTCGGAGCCAACCAGGTAACCACCGGAAGAAATCACATCATTAGAAAGTAAGTAATTGGGATCGGAGTCGATTCCTACGATTTCTAGCTTTCACTAACCGAGAACCTAGCCGCCCAGCACTACCTTCCACCCCTTCCACCCCTCCCAGCCTCCATTCCCGAAGATTACTATCCTCCAGACTCTTTATCACGCATTCTTTTCCTCCGTTTATTTAGAACTAGGCCTAATTTTGCGTGACCTTGCAGCACAAACAGGTCCTATTTTTATACCTGCCAATTGTTAGAGATATTACAAGATAGTATCAAACAAAGAAGAGGATCAGAGATAAGGACGATAGGTGTTTGATAGAATAGAAGGAGGAGAGATGAAGATGATAGATGTTTGACAACAAAGGGGGAGAGATAAGGACAACATTATGTTAGATAAGAAAGAAGATAGGAGGATAAGAACAATGGATGTTTGGTAGGGAAGAAAGAGGAGAGATACAGATGATGAATGTTTGAAAGGAAAAAAGGGGAAGAGATGAAAATTGATAAATGTTAGACTGGAAAGAAAGAGGAAAGATATAAGGACGATATATGTTTGGTAAGAAAGAAAGCGGTGAGATTAGGTCAATACATGTTTGATAGTAGGAAATAAGGAGCAAACCAATCCATCGCACGCACAAACCACTCACTCTGTCTCTTCTTCCACCACCCAGGTCCTGATCTGTGTGATAGTGACCATCCTTGACCACCCGAGCGCCCGACTCACCCAGCTGGTCAGAACTGACCGGTACGTGGAGCTCAGCTGTGACATGACCCTTTCGGGTATGACGTCATTTCTCTGCTACAACCTCACCCTGGTCCTCCTGTGCTCCGTGCTGGCGTTCAAGACGAGGAAACTCCCGGATAACTTCAACGAGTCTCGGTTCATCTCCATGTGCGTGTCTACCACACTCGTCATCTGGCTGGCGTTTATCCCGACGTACCTGACGTCCAGCAGACAGTATCTGAAGACGTTGCTTCTGTCCTTAGCCTTACTGCTCAACCACTCAGTGGCTCTGGTGTTTCTGTTCGTGACCAAAATCTACGCCGTGTTGTATCGACAGACGCCGATCCCAGGCTTTTCCGCCGGGGGCTCGGACCAAGGGTTGGGTACGGGGCTGGAGGGGAGTGTGGGCGGTTGTGGGGCGGGGGCTCAGCTCACGACCACAACTACGTCATCGAGTGGCCACAACAGCCACCACTTGCTCAGCCGATTCAGAACCTCGGCGTCCGTGGCCAAGTCGTCTGCGTCTTTGACGGGTGGTGTTATGGGTCAGAAGACTGGGACCCCCGCCGCACCGCCTCCGGCTGTGGCCTGCTTCAACAACAGGGTGAACCCACTGCCCACGTGACCGTGTCTTTGTACCCGGAGCCCATTGGTAAGATCGGTTCGGTTCGGGTCGTTTTGGGTCGTTTCGGGTCGTGTCTGGACGGGTCGTTTCGGGTCGTGTCTGGACGGGTCGTTTCGGGTAGGTTTGATCGTCGGGACTAGCCAGATTTTTCTCCTTGGAGCGAGAAAAGCAACCCCCTTGGCAGAAACTGAACGAAACCGGCGAGAAAACACGTTTTTTTTCAAAGGCGCAAGTCGGATGTTCGGTTTGAGGCAGGAGTCTAATTAATTATAATATAGTGTACGTTGAAGCCACTAGAAACCGAACCGAACCGGTACTCTAATGGGCAGCGCCTATAACACTAACAACCCAGGGCTAGTTTTAGCCCTCACGACCCTCTGGGCCAGGAAATACTGAAGTCCTTGACTCCTCAGGCAAACTAAACATTGAATGTGCCTGTGATGTTCTGCAGACAGTTAAAACAATTTCTGTTCTACTCAGAGACACTTGGATTGATGATGTAAAAAGACCTGACTAGCTCTCGTGTATGTGTAATCCGAAAGAATTAATTATCGTCTGTTTGAGTTAAAATCCTATACCAGCAAGGTCATGTTTCAACCAATCAGCGTCTGTATCGGTCAAAGATTCTACAGCACAAGATAGTTCACTCAGCCAAAAAAGTGTCCGCGGAAGTACGCGCATTGGTTCTGATGGCGCTGCAATCTTTGTTTTGAAGCTCTCTTTCGTTTCTCGAGAAGAAGAAGAAGAATAGCACCCACTTGCGCATCAGCTGCTCCGTTCGCTCAGTTCGGAGTTTTAGGGTTTTAAAAATTATTTTAATGATCTCTCGCCTCTCATCCTAAAGCCAAATTAAACGATGAAAACAGTAGCCTCTTTCACCTGAAGAGGATGTTTGTCGGCGTAACAATTTTGAAAAGGCGTTATTCCGAAATTTCATTTTAATTTATACAAAACTTGTTAGTTTCACTTTGATTTTCTCCACATAAATAGGGTAGCTCTGTTCGAAGAGGGAGCCACCGGATTTTGAGGACACTTTTTTAAATTGGTTCAAAGAGAGGAGTGAACCATCTTGTTATACAGAATCTTTGGTATCGGTTCAAAGTGCGATACCTATGTGGTCATATTATTTCAACCAATCAGCGATTGCTTTGATTGAAACTCTCAAGACTACATGGTCATGTTTTGAAAAGTCGACGTTTTTTCCTTTAGTAAACTATTTGACGACGCGCTGTTTTGGAGTACGTTATAATAATAACAACATAACTTCGATATCCATTCAGATTATTCCATTCTGTTTTCTTCGTCTGAAACTTAACTGAGGCAGGCAAAGACAAACGGTCGCTTTTAAGGACAAGCGGGCTAACCCAGATTTCGGAGGTTTCCAGAAGTGGGTATTACCCTACCTATAGAAAAAGTTTGGTTTCAATTGTGTATATTATATTTGTATGGTTGTAGAGAAAACACTCCTTGTTTTTTTAATGAAACTGAACAAGGGGCCTAAACTTTACCTTCGATTTTCTCAAAACAGTATTTTTCGGGATAGCCCACCTGTCCTTAAAAGCGAGCCTATTAACTATTTAAATTCACGTTTCTGTTGTGTGTATGATGGTTTGAAAAGTGCAGCAACATTGGCCTTGGTCTGCTGCTGGTCTGACAGTATGCAGTATTATGCCCACTACGTTCTGAAAGAGCTGAGAAGAAGTTCCCGAAGACAACAATGTCTAGAATAGCAAACAGCCGTTGTTTTTTTTTTTCTTTTTGTTTTTTTTGCTGTGGCTGCTAAATGCATTCACTGACATTCTAAATACAAGCCTCCATTCCCCTCAGGTATAAAAAGTAAAGTTGTTCCCGCATCCGATCTGGACTTTGCGGATTGCCTTGTTAGTGAGACAACTTCCTGGGCCTTCGTCATATTGTGGTAGGGTGGCCAATTCCTTTCCACGCCGCCTTTACTTCCTTAACTCGAAGTCAGGTACCCATTACTGCTGGGTGGGCAGGAGGGGGCGAAAAAAATCCGTGTCCGAACCGAGATTCAAACCTGGATTTTCCAATACCCTCAGGTACCTGCTCTAAAGGCCACCTGGCCACCTGTTCAAGACAATCACCTGTACAAACAATTATTTCCCATCCTTCATCCCCCCCTCACCCCCAGGCTTTGTTCTGTAAAAACAAGTGACACGATACAGTGGAATTAGGCGCTCGTCAATTTCTGGGCATATGGAGCTATTGATATTATAATCTAAAATCTGGTTAATTTATTATCAAAATTAGACCAATTTCAAAGTTTTAGTGCCATGCCCTTGGAAACTGCATATTTACATTTGTATGCTTTTGTTCACTTTTTTTCCCAGTAAAATCCAAACAGAAATATTTATTGTTTTTTTAAAACGGACATAAAAAGTGTTGAGCCAAGAAAAAAAAATTCGATAAAACTTGCCCGGCGGGCGAAAATGTGTTTGGTTTTTTTTTCGATTGTGTTACTTTACCGAGCGCCTGATTTCACCGCTGTGCAACTCATTAATGACGTAGACAATAAGCCAATGTTTTCACACAGGACCACCAACAGAAAAGACAAAAGCCGACAACAATCGGTTTTCCTTCACCAGCCTGACGGTGACAGTGCTGTGTGCTGTGTTGTTTGTTTTGTTTACGTGTACTGTTTTTCCCCGCCAAATTATCCTCCCATATGGCGCCGTTGTCGACCTCACAGCTGCAGGTGCTAAAAATAACTGCACATTATTATTGTCGTCTCTTTCTTTTTTTCTTCTTTTTTTTGGTTTGTTTGTCCTAGTTTTGGGCAAAGCCTAAAATGCCGTACCAAGGCTGAGCGACGTATCTGCAAAAATTGTTAATTTTTGCATCTTTGTTTAAATGGACGCCCATACCCATTCTGCATCTTGTGTCAAATGCAGGAAGACGTATCTGCACTTCAAATAGGATATTTCACTATGGCAAACAGACGCAACTGAAGGGCTATGCCCATATTTCCAATGGCAGCGTGATGTAGCTCAAAATCATAAAAAAGGCAGATACGTCGTTCTGCCCTGGCACAGCAGTAAGCGTAGTAGGCGTCATAACTGGGGTAGTCATTAATCATGAGTGGAAGGAGGAATCACGTTTCGGTGTTTTTTCCCGGTTTTTTAATTGCTGTTTTTTTAAAATTGTTGTTGTTGTTGTTGTTGTTGTTGTTGATGATGTTGTTTTCTGTTATTCCTCTCCCGGGCGCAATGTTAATGATCTTTTTCGTACCAGACAATCTTTCACTATGAGATTAGGAATGAGTAAAATCAATGATATTTCAACATTGAAACGATTTTTAAAGAAATTATGAATAGCAATTATTAGATCTATTTGAGAGTATTTGATTATTGTTTAATTGATTGATTCCTACGCTCATAATTATGACCTTTTTATACAGTTTCAGGTGCCGTAAAACTCTTAGAAAAATAGAACAATTAACTGATTGTTGTTGGGTTTTTTTAAAATAGATTTTGTCGCCTATTCCGTCTACCCCAGATTGTCCCGGGAAGTAGGATAAATTCCTTATTTCCATTCTCATTTCAAATCATGTTGATCAAAAGAAGAAAATCAACAAAATAACTTTTGATTGAGACTTAAACTTAGACTTAGACTTAGACTACTTGAACTTAGAATTAGATTTTGACTTAGACTTAGGCTTAGACTTAGACTTAGATTTAGACGTTAGACTTCGAATCTCCCACGTCTTCAGATGCGTGACGCAATCAGAAATGACCCTGAAGATATTTCTGCAGCCACCTAACACAGGGCACCACCCCATTAATTTTATCTATCAGTCTCAGGTCTATCGCTTCAATCTGTTGTCATGATAACTGAAATTTTCAGTTTCAGTAATTAGAGTTTTATGGCACTTGCAACACAATAAGGTCTTAATATACGTTCAGACGTCAAAGGAAATGAAAGAGCAGATAGGCTAGAAGGCTTCACAATCATAGAGGGAGTGCTTACCTTTGTCATTCCAACTGTTGTAGCCCTTGTACGAGAACACCTAGCAAGCGGACGTGAAGAGGACTCCTTCACGGAGGAGGTTGTGATTGCTAAAGGAGTGCAGCCTGGTGAAGGTAGGGGGAGCAGGCTGCTTGACCACATCAGATGCTACAACAACCAGCTGATGATGGAGACAATCAGCCTGCCCACACTGAAATGGACCCTCATGAAGAGGGTCGAGAAAGCATGGAGCACCCCGTCTTCCTAAGACCCCAGTTCTACATTCAAATTTTTCAAGTAATATACGTGCTGAAGATTAGAGATGTTGCAAGAGAGTAACCTTCAAAATAAAAGAAGAAAAAGAGAAAAGGAGGATAGATATTTGACACAAAAGAAGGAGTAACTCACACCAGAGCACCTGTCAACCACCTAACAATAATTTGACAATGATAATTAGAAATATGCCTCCACTTTGTCTCTGACTATCTGGAGTAACAATAATTGAGTATGTGATTTGTCATTGCAGCCTTTTGTAAAAATTCAAAGTTGCGGAGTTTTTATTTCTTCTTCATGTGCACTCGGTCAAACATTCCTTGATTCTGAATTAATTAAAACATGCATAATGCGTATTATTATTACTAATATAGTTATTATTATAATTGTTATCAATATTATTATTTTTGTTTTTGTTGTTGTTTTTATCATTAAATATAAAAATTGGTTGCTATAATGTTTCAAAGGTGTTATAAATGGTTTTCTCAATTTATTTTCATTTAAGAAAGAAAATCTACTTTCAAACTCCATAAATTTCTTTTTTGTGGTACCTCGATGCCTTTCTTTCTCTGGCGATATGTTGGTTGTTTTCCCCTCGTGCACACGTTTCCCTCTTAAAAACTCGATAAGTTCGCTGGATTTGATGTGTCAGGGTTTGTTGTTTTTTATTTTGTTTTTGTTTTCTTTTTTGTGTTTGTTTTGGTTTTGTTGTTTTGTTTTGGTTTGTTTTTTTGTTTGTTGATTTTCTTTCTTTTGTGTTTTTTCGGAGTGGGAAGGGGGTTACGGCATGTGTAACACAAATTAGTATGTTTCATACAACTGGAAAAGACTAGAGGTGATATGGTCGCTTTTAAGGACAAGCGGGCTATCCCTGAAAATGCTGTTTTGAGAAAATCGAAGTTAAAGTTTATTTTATTCTTATTCAGCCTCTTTTAAAGACGAGCAGAATTTTCTCTATAACCAAACAAATATAAACACCAAAGAAACTAAACTTCTCCTATAAGAAGGACAATGCCCACTTTTGGAGAAGGTCAAGATTTCTGGGAAACCCCGAAATCTGGATTAGCCCGCTTGTCCTTATACAGCCAGCGTTTCCTTCCAGTGGTTAGATTCTCGCCCACACTCACATGAGACCAGAGTTCGATTCTCGAGAGGGGATGATTTTGCCGAGTATCTCGGTCATTCTGCTTGAGATGTATCCCTCTCAAGGAAGTGTTGGCCCTGACAGGGAGGGTTGCAATCTGCCTCCCACATTACACATTATAACCTAAATTGTGAAAGTCGGGGTGTAAAAAGTACCTAAATTTAAAAAGTAATAAACAAACATGCTACAAACACAAACAAACAAACAGACAAACAAACAAACAAGAAATATCTTAAAAATCAGTTTTTTAATTGACCATGAGGCCAAGAAACAATAATAATTATTATGTTGGTATTGTATATGGGGACATAGTTCAGGACAATTTTTGAAATAATAATCCAAATTGAATTAACTCCCTTGAAAAAGCCAAACAATTGCGAACCTTGCAATTATTTGTGCTTGACGGATGCAAGAACTAACGTGATATGAGAAGTCTTCGGCTGGTAATTACTCACACGTAAAAAATAAAATACTAGTAGGCGTAGCAATAATACTAATGATTACAATAATAATTATAATAACTATAATACAACAACAACAACAACAACAAGAATAGAAATAATAATAACAAAACACAACAACAACAACAACAACAACAACAACAACAACAATAATAATTGTAATAGTAATAGTAATAATAATAATAATGATAATAATAATAATAATAGTATTTAAAAATGATTATATAAAAGGAATAAAAACAAGTATAGTAATAACAAATATAACAATAGTAACGATATTATGACACTCAACGTTCAACCCCTATTCAAAGACTCGGGCTCTGGGCACTTTACAAATACAAAAGCAACTCAAAAACAGTACATCTTATTTTGAATTTTTGTGTTGCCTTTATTGTAAATTTTTACTACAATATTGTTACTGTTGTTGCTGCTGATGATGACAACAACGAAAATGAACGCATTTTAACATCGCTAATCTTATACATGTATATTACCTATGTCTGCTGTTGCAATTGTCGTAAAACTCATAATGAAATCTAAAGGGAAAGAAATCGTCGGCATCTTTATGATCTAATTTTATTTCATATGTCGTAAAACTCGGATCAAAACTAAAACAAACACACATAAATCGCATGTTGTCAATCGCCAAATATCATTATAAGAAAAGCTACAACGAAAAAACAACTATCCAAAACTAAATCATACACAGATAAATCACGTGCTGTCAGTCCACTTGTCTCTGAAATGTTCTGTCTCGTGGTCCAGCACGAATGTGTTAGGAGGGAGACGTGATGAGTTTGTTGGGCAAAGCGGCGGTGAGAGTTGTGAGTATCTCGGCCAACTCTTGGCGGAACCTTGGCCCGGTCAGGCAATAGAGGAACACGTGGAGCGCCTGGTTGAGATACATCAGGCAGTTGGTCAGTGTCCAGCCCAGGTGGAGGCGCGCGGAGGCCAGGGGCTGGTTCTCTTCTGTCACGTATGTGTATACGATGAGCTACACATCAACACTACATGCTGGTGGCGAGTTGGTTGTTGTGTTGGATGGAGGGGGAACTGTGTTGTTGTTGTTGTTGTTGTTGGTGGTGGTGGTGGTGGTGGTGGTGGTGGTAGTGGTGTTATTGCTGGTGAAAATGACAGTGTTAATGATGATGATGATGATGATGATGATGATGATGATGATGATGATGATGATGATGATGATGATGATGATGATGATGATGATGATGAT